TTTGTAAGGAATTTTTCCGTGGGCTGAAAAAAGCTCATTTCGCCCAGCAACTAAACCAGCTTCATCTTCAGTGTCACTTAGCTCACTTAGCTCATCCAGCTCACCCAAGTAAGTGTCATCTGATGGGGAAACCTCGGTTGAATCGAGTTGGTCGACAAGATCGTCTCCTTGGGCCGGTTCTATGATCCGAGCAGGTCGGTGCTCGAATCGGGGCACATCATTCCCTCTCTCTTCAAAAAGATTTGTCCTCAAATCTGTAACATTAAAAGGAAAGGGGTTATAAGCAAATGAATCATAATTAGAACATTGCTCACCTTGATTTTGATTCGATTTTTGAATGGAATAAGAATTTTCTTGGTTTGCTTGATGACCACGGTTTTGTTCTTCATCTGATCCCTCCATTGGCTCATGTTTGAAGTCATTAAAAATTGGTAAANAAGGAAAGGGGTTATAAGCAAATGAATCATAATTAGAACATTGCTCACCTTGATTTTGATTCGATTTTTGAATGGAATAAGAATTTTCTTGGTTTGCTTGATGACCACGGTTTTGTTCTTCATCTGATCCCTCCATTGGCTCATGTTTGAAGTCATTAAAAATTGGTAAAGACTCCTCCTTTTCTGGCTCGGTTTTAATCTTCTCATTCTCCAAAGTCACCAACAGTTTTTGCTTTTGACACTTGTTAGCATAATGACCGATTCTATGGCATTTGAAACACCTGGTAGAATGAGCTTTGCTTGTGGGTTTCACAACTTTTATTTTATCAGAAGACAACACATTAGTTTTCAAATCAAAATTTGAAAGAGAAGAAAAATTACTTTGCTGTTTTGGTGCAGAAGAAGTGTTGGTATTTCCCTTCTTTTTGAGTTGCCGGATAGCATGAATTGCCTTATGCAACATCTTCTCCAAATTGGCATAAGTCTGAATCTCATTGTGATCTAACACATCACGGTTGGTTCTCTTGGATTTGGTGAAAGGACGATCACCACTTCTGACCCACTTCTCATCATTATCGGACCTGTTTTGTCTCTTCCTTTGTTTCTGCACAAAATTAAATCCATTAGAAGAAAATTGTTTCTTATCAAAAATCATTTGCTCCTTTTCAAAAACAGTTTTAAAAGGAAAGTAGACGTCGTCTTGTAGTGGTTTTGATTTCTTGAGAAGTCCAAACATCCTGAAACACTTAACAAACGTTAGCAAATAAAAATCCTCACACTCTCAAAGTGTTTAGCTCACGATTTTTAGATGGTCACTCAGAGTTCTTTCANATGATGAAGAGATGAGAAGATGAAAAGAAGATAGAAAACAAACCAGCCAAAGTGGCTCTGATACCACTTGATAGAACCAAAATCGAAGGATCACTTTAGCTGGGTGTTGGATATGAACCGAGAAGGCAAACGGCACTTCTGGAACTGAGATGGATTGAAAGGATCGTCAAGAGATGCGGAATGGCTCTTGATATACCCAAGATCTAAGGCTAACCACCTAAGAAATGATGAATGTGTTGGCTAACCACCAAACAACACACAAAGATGAAATGGCTGACCACCAAATCAACAAGCCGGTTCACACCAATGAACTAGCTAAAGAACTCTCTCTCTCACTCAGAGAATAACAAAATTAAACTCAAAAACATAGACTTATTTTATTCATAGAAGAGTTTACATATTTATACTACTTGTGGTCAAAAGAAATGAAGAGTTTTTGTAGAAAACTAGAAACTTAGAAAACACAAACAAAGACTAAGACTTTTGACTAGAAATAAGTGTGTTGTTGAATGCCCCTTGATATGACCACGACTTTAACTCATCTTCTTGATATTTCTTGATGCAAATGGGCTGAAGACCATCAGAAAAGGCCTGGTCGAATTTGGTGTAAATCGGACCCAAATTGAATTTGTAAGGAATTTTTCCGTGGGCTGAAAAAGGCTCATTTCGCCCAGCAACTAAACCAGCTTCATCTTCAGTGTCACTTAGCTCACTTAGCTCATCCAGCTCACCCAAGTAAGTGTCATCTGATGGGGAAACCTCGGTTGAATCGAGTTGGTCGACAAGATCGTCTCCTTGGGCCGGTTCTATGATCCGAGCAGGTCGGTGCTCGAACCGGGGCACATCATAGAGCCTCTGGTATATATTGAACGATCAGAGCAATAGCTAGGTCGTTCTTTTCTTCATTCTTGCTGCCAGAATCAATGGTTTCCCAGACCTTATTGACCTTAAGAGCCAGGGCCGGAGCTGAGATTTTGGGGGCTTGAAACATTTCTTAAGAACTCTAAAAATTTTGGGGGCCAAGGTCAATGTTTAGGGGCTTATTCGTAGGTTAAAAAAATGTAAAATTTTTGGGGGCCTAGGCGAATGTTTCGTCCGCCTATGTCCAAATCCGGCCCTGTTAAGAGCAAGCTTCATCTTCAAAGCCCAAACCGTGTGGTTTGAGGTGTTAAGCATCGGAAGCTTAATAGACGAAGGTCCATTGGCTTTCGTACTTATCTCAACTTCATTCGTGTCCGTCATGTTTGTTGTCTATGAAACCTGGCTCTGATACCAATTATAGAAATCAAGAGATCAAGTATTCAAGAACACCAAAACCACCTTCGTATTGCTTTAGAAAAGTATCTCAAAAACTAAAAAGCTCTATCACTCACACAAATCGTAAGTTGATAAGCAACACATGAAATCAAATATATAGGACTCAACAAACTCCTAACCCCTTTTAGATAAACACTTAAAATATATTCCTAAATCCTTTAGATAACTCCAAACACATTAGGATTAGGATAAACTCTAAATAACTTGAACCTCAAGTTATCAAACTTAAACCAACAGTTACCCCATGGAAGGGTGGGTTTACACGCGCCGTCAAGACAGGTACCTACAAAATTCCAGCCTAGCTACATTCTTCTTTCTTACACGTGGCCTAATCTAACAACATGGGGACTGTTTGGTACTCTGGGATGGGACCATCTTCTCCCTTAGAAGGTTTGCCATCAGTCTTTTTTCTTTTTAAGACCCAATACTATCTTTTACTAGCTGTAGGTGTAACTTCAGAGCTTGGGCTCTGGGATCGAGCCCCTGCTCCTCCAAATATTTACTATAATTGTAAACCATACTATCGTAAAGCTCTACCAAACTTTTGCGCCTATTAACTTACGCTAGTACTAGTAGTAGTAATCTACGGATGATCCATCATCTATTTCATTAGACATTTAGACATTAAAAAATAATTTAAACAATATCCGAAGCGTGGAGTTTTGCTATCCTTAAAAAAAAATGGTAAACTACTTTTCAGCGAAGGAACGGAAAATGTTAAATTACCGATAACCACATGCTAAAAATATCTGAATGTAAACTGATTTAAATTCTACTCGCCTTGCGACGCTACAATGCCTTGATACCATCCGACCACTAACACGTGGTTCTGTCCTTAACATCAACAGTGTGCTTCTTCCACTCTAAACTGTTGTGTGAAGCATCTCTATCACGTTTTATGGGATCCTGCGTGGAAAACACATCGAATGTGAACTCTTGAATTCATGATACAGTTCTCATGAATGAGGAGAGGCATCGGCGATGACCACGGTCACGTCGCTTTCTGCGCCTTTGGTTAATTCCACCGAAGTCTTTTTAAAATTAAGATAAAAGACATTTATTTTCACAATAAACAGTTCAATAATCAAATCAGACCGTTGATAAAAAGACCCATGAGCCTCATCTTAGATTAGCAAGGGCCTTCCCAGTTTCCATATTAATTAATTTATGGGAGGGAAATCAGTTTACTACGCACACTACAGCCGCTTGAGGAACACATCCAATGGCAGCGACCGACACCTTCAGATGAACTTCTTTTCATTTTTCTTTCTTTTGATTAATTCGTTCAATCTTATATTCTTGTCAGCATCTAAATTTATTGAATATTTAAGTAACTTGGATCATTTATAACATCATGGTTATTAACATTGGAGACTATCAGAAGACTACAAATTATTTAAAGTTTATAAACCTGGCCGGTTATGGGCATTATCAGGTGAAACTTCGATTATATATGATCCCAATTTTTTTTAAAAAAATATACTCCCTCCGTTTCAATTTATTTGTCATTCTAGGTTTTTATACACAGATTAAGGAAACATTTAATTTTACATATTTTCAATATAAAAACACAATTACCAATACACCTAACCACTTTTCAACCAATAGGAAAATATAATATCATATAAACCTAATAAATTATGTCTCGAAACTCTAAAACGACACTTATTTTGAAACGAATTTTTTCCTCTAGAATGACATCTAATTCGAAACGGAGGGAGTATAACTTACATAAACAGAAAATTCTAAAAAAATATATATAACTAAAATTATTATTTTATTAAAATGTATCTTCGAAATCTTAGGATTAATCATGTCTATATAAAATAAAATAACTAAGAATGGTCTCGAACTATCAACTAGTAGTTAATTTAACTCTTCGAGATCAAGAAATAAAGAAAGATGTGTATACTTTTTTATTATTTTTTTAAATGACTAATGATTCAGCGATTTCGTTATCAGTTTGTAGAATACGGCCAATGTAATTCGAAAGAAAAAACAAATCAACAGAAAGAAAGAGCCAGCAAATCACATTGCATGTGTTAGTTAGTTAGGCTTTGCTTGGAAGAGAGCTTAGATTTAACACAAAGACTGCCAAACTCACAATTACATGGAATCATGTAAAGCTTAATTTTTAACAAAGCAAAATATCATCAAAGTTCCAATCAATGCATTGAACGGACCCAATGCAATGCGACTTTTATACTTCTGATCAAGTACGTAACTGTTCATTCTCTTGCTAAACAAAATACTGGTATTACATAACGAAATGAAAAAGGTATGATACGATTTGGAGAACTATCACCCACATGGTTGATGAAATACGATATGGATTACAAACACATTAGGAAACACACATTTATAATAATATAAAAATGTCCAAGATTTTAATTTTCGAATTTGGAATGTTGGATATTACCAGATTCGAATTCCGAAGCAAGAGGTGGATTGTGAGCTGGGAATGGTGGGGCAGTGATCAGTAGAAGAGTCGAACGATGAAATTTTTTTAATGACCTTCCCTTTTGTCTGAAACTTGAACAGATGGTACTCATTGTCAGCAATCAGCACCCTCTCGGACAGAGAGGGCTGTGACGAACCGGACCGTTTCGTGACCTTATTCTTAAGACCACCTGATGATAACCAGAAGAGCCTGTTGGGGATTAGTGCGAGGATTTTTTTGATGGGTTCTTTCGAGCCACGGCGGATATGGTTGCCAGAGAAGGAAAAATGAGACCGCGGAGGGGTGAGAGGAAGTGGCGGAGGCAGCTCGGAGGAGGGATGTTTGGGAGTACCAGGATGAGATTCCCATTCGAAAGGGATGGAACCGGCAGCTCCATCGTAGTAATAGATCCTAAAGGAAGGACAAGCTGATGCCTGCGGCTGCGATGAGGAGAGTTGTTTGGTTGACGATATCTTGTGTGAGAAGGAAGCGGTGTCTTGCTTTCTCAGTGACGCAGGACGCTCAGATCCGCCGTTTGTCATTATTGATTTGGGAGAGTGTGTGTGTGAGAGAGAGAGAAGGCATATGAGACGTATGGTAGTAGTACTAAATATATACTAGGATTAGATCCGCGCATTGCGCGGGATGAGATGATTAAATTTGTTGTATTTTTGAAGATAAGAAGACATTATATCTGTTTTATTTGCATATTAGTTTGTTTTGGATTGGTTGTTTCGGGTTTTAATATCGTCCAATTATATATCTATATTTAAAATATTGTTTAAAATATTTTTGAAGATAAGAAGACATTATATCTGTTTTATTTGCATATTAGTTTGTTTTGGATTGGTTGTTTCGGGTTTTAATATCGTCCAATTATATATCTATATTTTAAATATTTTTTTTGGGTTAAATTTCGATTTTGATTTTATGGTGATAACACAATGACTAAAATTAATTATTTAGTGTCATCTTATATCAAATCAAATTTATTTTAAAATATAAATAAATAATTCACTAAACAATATTTCATTAAATATTTTTAACCAAATAAAATACACTTATATACTCTTCTCTACTATTTAATTTCGTAATACCTCCATTATTTAATTTGTAAACTATTATTTTATAGAAGTTTCTTAATTTCGACATCCATTTATATAATGCAATAGTAAAGACTTTTTAAAAACATAGTAATTTATTTCGAATGAATGTGAAACTATAATTCAATCAAAATATTTTATACATCTAGTGCCTCTGTTTTATATAAGTATTTTAAACAAAACTACTCAAATACTGCTAAAACTCCTCCTCACTATGGTAAGTCTCTAGGTTAAGGAAGATGAGAAATCTAATATAAATAAAATAAACTCAATTCTAATATAATAAAGATGCATAATCTCATTCTTCCAAAAACAAATAATGGTCTAAATATAAATAGGTATTATATAAAAACAACTTCAATCAATAATTAGTTAGAATAACTTCAAAACTTCAGAAATTGATGATTGGAATTCTGCAAAGACATGAATTTCAATATATGAGGAAGAACAAAGTTTTTAGTGTATATACTACACAACTTAATAGAACCAACTAAGTATAATGTGCTTACTGCGATTTGAAGAACTGAATCTCTGGGATGTCAGTATCAAACATAATTTCAGAAACACCTTCTATGTTTGTAACATAAGTGAGACCACATATAAAGTAATATCAACAATAAGTATAGAAACCAGACATTTCTGAATAGCAAAGAGTCAAAATAAATATAGATTACCTGCTCCCCATTCAATTCGCCATAACCTTAAAACACATACTACAACATCTGCAGTATTAGAATGCCAGAAATCATTTAAAATACGGGCTAGAGCTCCATGAGCAACACACCTCACTTGAGTGTACCTGTTACATTTGTATTATATACCAGTCAATATAAATTGTACAAACATGGTCGTACTAAGAATAAACAATTGTAAATATATGAAAAATTCAAACCCGAGATCGATTAAGGAGAACTCCAACGAATATAGAATAGTACTGTAAACGTTAGCAGGTTGACATGTCTTATTAACTATAAGATCTCCTCATGGACCAATGCTCCACATAGATTTACATAAGAAAAAATTGTTTCAGATTTTAGTACCATTAATTAACAATCTAAGAAAGGGTAAATCATACTTAACATACCAATGCAGTACATAGGATGATAAACACCCCGATTGATACCACGGAAGTTTGCACAGCATAGAAATTTAGAACCGTTCACTGGTTCTATCTTTCTAAACAAACTCGCTTCGTTGAACTTGATTGTGTACTTGTGCTTTGTGGTTCTATAAAGCTGAAAACCCTTCTTATCTTAAAATTGAGTATCTCTACCCAGTCACATTCTATGAGTTCAATCTCGTTAGGTAGAGACAAAGCATAGCTTAAGCTCCCTTCAATTGTTACTACCTGTTTAAAACAAATAGTGAGTTCATAATTTAGTATAAATGTGATTTATAATACGTTCATTAAAATATAAGATAACTTACTTTCGAATCTCCTAAGAGCATGGTTGAATGATGATCTCTTCCAATTTTCGTACTCCATTTTCTAACGATCTTAACATGGATTGCAGGGAATTGAATCTTAGTATTCAACTCACTCAAAGAGATGAAGTTAACCATCACGCAAACAATGTAAGAGATTCTTCTATTATGTGTGTTTTTAGGTTTAGTTAGGATGCTTAGCGTAAAGTACACATATATATATATATAGGTTTCTTCTGAACATTAAAAGAGATTGAGCAAGATATTTAGTCGATATATTGGTCGGATCGTAATAGGCAGTTTTTTTGTATATAATTCCTAAATGCATATGATTAAAATCTCCTATATATTCCATTTTTTAATTCATAAATTTACTTTCTTAGTAGATGAATATTATCTTCCTTAAGTATAGTAATGGTTTGCTTTTCAGGAAATATTTACATCTTTTTGTCCCAAATAAGGATACCTCTAAAATGGTGTGTCTAGGAATAGAACACAATTCGGGAAAGATAAGTGCATTAGTTTGCTTGGGAGACAATTCTGACTATTTATTACAGCTAACCAAAATAAAAATCAAGCGATTAATCTTTAATCAAACCGTCTAATATGATTTACAAATTGAGAACCAATAAACCAACTAATATAGATTTAATAAATGTGTACATTTAACATATTTTCTTCTCTTGATGAGAATGTTCGAATGCTGATTAGGTAGTTATAAGGGGTCTCATGCGTTATCATATTGGGCGGAACCTCATAGCAAAGGTAAGTCTAAACACAAGTTTATTTCAATTTTCAAACATTGATATTAACACAAATTATGTGTGCTTCTTTTATATTTCGTAAATACTAAATAAGTTTTATAAGTTTATTAGAATGTTTGGTGTTTCTGGGGGATAAAATTTTAAAAATAATCGAAACCTTGTGTCTTGATTAAAATATAACTATGAGCTAAAGATATAACTCTCAAAATTTAAGCAATCATAGTAGTAAAGTAAAACAAACTAAATATTAAATATAAAAGAACAAAGTAAAAAAAAATGGACATAAAAATCCCATTATTCTTTCGTCACATTCTTCAAGTATCTTCCTTTAAAATCATTCTCGATAGAATGGAAACTTGAAATATATACGGGATTAGTTAACATTAGCAATTATAATATAACACATATTTTTACTAAGAATCACATCTTCCCTATTATGCAAAACTTATGTTGTTTTGAAATATTGTATTTCAGCGATATGAGAATCAAATAAAATATTCGAACATTCTTCAAAGTTAGTTAAATGGTTTAAGCAACCTATAAAAATCAACAATTCAGGTCAAATAAAAATGTCGTTCTTTGGATCCAATTATAGTCTAGATTAGTAAAACTTACCATCACCCCACTCAATTCGCCATAATCTCAAAACACAAACAACAACTCGTGCAGTTGATGACAGCCGGTTTCATATAACTTATCCGCTACAGTTCCATAGGCAACACAATTGATTTCAGCAAAACTGTATACAATAAGATATGGTAAACGTTATCAAATAGGAACTGCTGTAAAGATAAAACTGTAAAAGAACATCACTTACTCAATATTCATGATGGAAAACTTAATTATGCTTTTATGTTCATCATTAATATTAGGGTTGTATTGCACTTTAATATCATGTTCGATTGGGCCAACATGAACCAAAGCTCCACATAGGTCTTCGTCAGAGTAGAAAAGGTATTTGAACATTATTAGACAACATCTTTAGCAAAATATTAGGAAACATGGAAGATACGAACCAAAAAAAAAATGATTTTGAACTCTAATTTTGACTTACCAATACAGAATTTGGTATGCGATAGACCACGTAGGATAATTTTGTAATCAACACAGCAAAGGAATGTAGACTCAGTGATAGGGCTAATCTTTCTAACCACTGCGTTTCGAGTGAGGATGATATGGTATTTGCTGAAACATGATTCCATCCATACGAGCTTGTACACCCTCGCTGACTGTTAATTCATCGAGTAGTCCTTTCAGAGTTCTCTCTACTCCAATCACCGAGCTTCCTATACCGCTTAAGTCGANCACAGCAAAGGAATGTAGACTCAGTGATAGGGCTAATCTTTCTAACCACTGCGTTTCGAGTGAGGATGATATGGTATTTGCTGAAACATGATTCCATCCATACGAGCTTGTACACCCTCGCTGACTGTTAATTCATCGAGTAGTCCTTTCAGAGTTCTCTCTACTCCAATCACCGAGCTTCCTATACCGCTTAAGTCGATGTTTTTCATCTCGAGTTCCTTGTCTTTGTCTCGCGAAGTCACTGAACGACTCTTTCTAATGGAGAGAGCTCTTAGGAAGAAGACGATGGTGCTCATTGAAGTTTTCATTATTTTTGTTTGAGAGAGAGACACACCAGGTTCATATTTATATGTTCGAGATTTGTTGAAACTGATAATTGCTAAGGTTTGAAATTGAGAGAGACACAGCAGGTTCACGTAATATGTAGTTGGTCTCTTTATATGTCAAGACACGCAATATGGAAAGTTATAAAATCTGGTTTATGAATTTGGCAATATTTTTTGTGAGAAGCATTCTGGAAACGACACGTCAGCATTGTCTCAAATTCAATGTGAACGCATTTAATACAAAATGCTTCTCTTTTAATATATAAGGGATATGGCGCCTAGTGTTATTGGTTAAGTTTGTTTTTTCAACATTTGGACTTCGGTATGTAAGGAATTATGAGAAACAAAGCTTAACTCTGAAAGTGAAATGGTAGTTTATATGTGAGTGATGCTGGTTATAATATACTACTCCTTCCGTTCCAAAAGTTAAAATTTATAGAATATTCAGGTTTATTAAGAACTAGTGGTTTTCCTGGGGTACGCCCGGGTTTTCTTATATAAATTTTAGATTAATTTAATTTATTATATTAATAGTTGAATATATATGATTTTAAAAAATATAAATTATAAAATGAAGTTTAAATTATAAAATGAAGTTTAAATTATTAAAGTGTAAACAAATTAATATTGAACATAGATATTATATGTTTTCTGTTTTTAATTTTGGTAAGGTTTTAAATAAATTTACATAATAATTGATCAAAAACTGTAAAATGTTTAGATGTGATAGTTTGGTTATTGTATGATGAACTAATTTTTGACAAACTGATGTATTTAAAACTTTGTATGTAAAGGTAATTTTTTTTATTTTTCAAATTTCTGACAATGTCTATTATAATATTTTTTAATAAAATTTTATTTTTGATGTTGAAGTGGGTAATATTTTTTCTCCAATTTACTGAACACAAAATAGAAAATATCATACCTGATAATTCAAATTTATATAACTTTATATTTATTAATTTTTTTAAAAAAATTTAAAACTTAATTGAAAAAATAATTCTATATTTTTTTGTCAATAATTGTCTATTAAACTAATGTATACTAAATTTTGTAATATAATCGTTCGTACTACAGTAATGTTATTACAATGAATCTATAATACTTGATAGTTTAAAAAAAAATATATACTGAATTTTTTTGTACGCTTACACGCATTACAGATGCTTGCATGACATTTTGATAATTAATACAATTTTGGTTCTTGAATAATTATAGTAAACATGTGATAACATCTATTACATCATCCATTGAACATTTGTTAGATACGTTCATTGTAAAATTGTTGTTATTGATTGTATTTCCGTGGATATGACTTAAAACTCTTTGAAATGAAGTTTAAATTATAAAATGTAATTTAAATATCTAGAGATATGAAAATTGTCATCCATCTTGAAGAATATGTTGAAAGTGAGAAAGCTATTTTTTGTTTAATTTATTGGACTAAAAATATTTATTAAAAATCATCTCATTTTAAAAAAAAATTCAAATAAACTTCAAATAAAATTAAAGATTTTTATAATTGGACCTAACACATTTTCAACAAATGATAAAATGACAAGTGTCATCCTTTTCACCTATGGAAAAAAACTCTATTTTATTATATAAGAGATGTATAAATATTTATTTTAGAAAAAATTAAAATATTTTAAAATTAATAAATCATATATCACCATTACAATATAAATGTATATATAACATTAATAAAAATAAACTAAATATAAGTACATTGTAAGAAATCACATTGACTTATATATCATATGTTAATAACTAAATATATATATATATATATATATTAAAAATATTTGTAAATTTTCGTTAAAATAGAAAAATAAAACAATACTACTGAAATTAAAAACAATTAATGTTTAAATTTTGATTAGCATTTATTGGTTCATTAAATAAACTAAAGTTTCTTTTTGAATCTTAAATTATAGTTTTCTTAAATATAATAAATATAAAAACATCATTAAAAGAAGGTGACACATGGCATTTTTTGCCCCTATGGAGAAAAAAAAGTCTACTTTATTATATAAGATATATAATAAATGTTTATAGGTTAATTTATTATTAATTTTCAAAATATAATAAATATTTACAGAGTGTTACAAATTTTTTTTTTTACAGTAATACATCTTAATTAATGTGAGAAAGTACTCGTTCACACGAGAAACATAACACGGGTGTGCAGTGTGCTCTAGTTGTTGAATAAGTTGAAGATTAGTTTGAGTTTCAGTTCAACATATTGAAATAGTGTAACCGTATTTCTGATGACTGAGATTGATGGATCACAAAAAATGCATATTCTGCTCATGTCCGAGTGAGTGTAGTTGTTTTCCCAACGCCAACCCGGGAAGGTTGAATGCACAATAATAGCCGAGATGTTTTCCGTAGCACGAGTCTCCAAAATGGCACCAATAAAAGTAACCCATGACCTGCGTAGCCTCCACTACCCCAAAACGCTTAAAACCTAAATCAGGGATAAATGAAACTTAGTTAGACAGAAACGAGCGGCCCATGGGTTGATATTGTAAGAAGAAAACATAATAAAAATTTGTGGATGGTTTGGTTATTGGAGAAGCATTTATGAGTAGGGCCAGAGATGAAAACAATATGAATTGAATAGTTGGGGCTATGTAATTTAATTGGAAAGCAGCAATGAAGGAACGAGAGACGGAGGCCATGCACCTAACGTGTGCTCCGCATAGCACCACCGGGCATTGTTTTCCTAATACTGATTCGTCCCGATGGTCGGTCCATTCCCATTGCATTAATGTCTTTCAATATCATACTCATGCGCCCCTATATTTATGAAAATAAAATACTTAGTCGGCTTCAACATCTAGAAGCATAATTAGTGCAACATCATTATACTACTCTTGTGAAGAAAGTTATCGAGAGATTAAATACACATATACGATTCGGGTACAGATACTTAAGTCTTAAAAACATTTAAAAAACATTTTTAAAAACATGTTGCACATTTAAAAACATTTTTAAAAAACATTTTGTCTTCTTGTTTGTCTCGGGGTGGACGGTGCCTGCGAGAACTGCAACCTCCATTTGATTTGTCTTCTTGTTTGTCAAATGCTGTAAAAGATGTCTCTGTTTAAAAAATGTTGTAAACGATGCCTCTCGTATTACAAGATGTATTATGTAAAGTCAATGACCATTCTCATATTACACCAAATAAAAACTATTCAGATTTGGATTGGTTTATTATGGTTTGGGTCGGTCTACAAAAAGTATCTATAATTTTCGGGTCTGTACCGAACCCGGTTCGGGTCCGGGTCGGGTTCAGATATTCAGGATTTGTCAAAGACCATTCATTGGCACGTGACTAGAGCACACTGCATATTTTGTTTCGCTTCCTCTCCACTACAAGCTTAAGTTCATCTCTGCTCCCAAGGGGACTCCTCACTCGTTGCGGTTCTCTTCGTCCTCTCCAAATCAATAAAGTTCGTGCCTTTTTGTTCTCCTAAGTTGTTTTCTTACTCGATCTTTCCAAATTACTGAAATTTTAGTACGTTTCTGCAACTGGGTTAGTAAATCTCAGGTTTAGGATTCACTATTCTGTCACAAACATTCCAAAACTGTAGCTTACTGTGTGACTGTACGTGTTTTCTGTAGCTCTGTCTCGATAAAGCTCGTGTCTTTTTGTTCTCCTCAGTTGTTTATTACTCTGATCTTTCCAAATTACTGAAATTTTAGTACATCTCTGCAACTGGGTTAGTAAATCTCAGGTTTAGGATGTACATGTTCCCTAATTGTAGCTTATTGTGTGAATGTACATGTTTTCTGTAGCTCACTCTCACTAAAGTTCATGTCTTTTTGAACTAGTATTTGCAGAGATGGACTCTCATACATATGGGAAAGAAATTTTGCTATCTGAAGACCTTGAAGATATACAAGCAACAGTGTGCATGAAGAAGACAAGTGTAAACTCTCTAACCATTTTTAAGGAGGTGATGTTTCTTGGAGCTGATGGAAGTGGGTTCTTCAAGGGCACCCTTAACCAACGGACCGTAATGGTGAAGCGAGTCAATATCAACGATGAAGCAATTCTGAATGCTTCACGTGAAATGGCAATTCAAGTTGGCCTTGAGAATAAATGCCACCAGATTCTTCGGCTCCATGCTCTGGATAGTGATAGTTCTCACATATACTTCTGTTTTCAAAACTGGACACCGTCGGGGACTTGGTGCAAACAAAGTGACACCCTATCTCACGGCCAGCCGGAGAATTGCGCTGGAGCAACTCCTTACGGATATAAGGTGTTGGGAACCTTTTGGTAGACCTTCTCCTCTCCTTTTTGTGATAAAAGACATGGTAATGGGTGTGTTTGAGCTCCATCGTGAGGGTATACGTCATCGAGACAGTTTCGTTCTTATTGTCGATGGAGATAAAATTAGCTCAAGGCTTGGTAATCTAAGCATCTGTAAGCTCAAGGGGGACAGTGAAACCATTGGTGTCCAAAACCGAAAAGCACCGGAGCAGTTGCAGAAGAGGAAACCAATCGAGGGCTTGACCAACAACATCCATTTACTTGGACGTGTCGTTGGTTTTTGCATTACCAAGGGTTTACAAGTGTTTAATGATCATGGGTNATTAGCTCAAGGCTTGGTAATCTAAGCATCTGTAAGCTCAAGGGGGACAGTGAAACCATTGGTGTCCAAAACCGAAAAGCACCGGAGCAGTTGCAGAAGAGGAAACCAATCGAGGGCTTGACCAACAACATCCATTTACTTGGACGTGTCGTTGGTTTTTGCATTACCAAGGGTTTACAAGTGTTTAATGATCATGGGTGTTTAACCCAACAAGCAACGAACATCCTTCAAAATCTCCATGAAACTTATCAATTCTTCATAGTTTTGATTAAAACCCCCTACCACGCTAGGTAATGTTATTTGTCTTCAAGAGTTGAGGTTTTAAAGGAGCTTCTGAAAAGTTAATTAATCAATCCTACTTTGTCTCAGGCTTACGGCAGCAAGAGCGCTACACGAACCCTTATTCTGGCCAGTTGCGAAGAAAGCGCAATTCTATCTTGTGGCATCTCCTCTCCTGGTGGAAGCATTGTCTGGTCAGTCTAAAATGTTACAATCTGACCTACAGAATTTACAGTTTGACCTACAGAAGACTGAAGCTAGGGTTTTGTGGCCGTCCGGAGAATGGTATAGCAAACTAGAGACGGCGTTCAGTACCAATTGCCATGGTAATGATTTTTGCGTCTTTCAGCATCTAATTTGGTCCTGAACGCCGTATCTAGTTTGCTATACCATTCTCCGGACGACCACAAAACCCTAGCTTCAGTCTTCTGTAGGTCAGACTGTAAATTCTGTAGGTCAGACTGTAACATTTTAGACTGACCAGACAATGCGTCCACCAGGAGAGTAGAAACCACAAGATAGAATTGCGCTTTCTTCGCAACTGGCCAGAATAAGGGTTCGTGTAGCGCTCTTGCTGCCGTAAGCCTGAGACAAAGTAGGATTGATTAATTAACTTTTCAGAAGCTCCTTTAAAACCTCAACTCTTGAAGACAAATAACATTACCTAGCGTGGTAGGGGGTTTTAATCAAAACTATGAAGAATTGATAAGTTTCATGGAGATTTTGAAGGATGTTCGTTGCTTGTTGGGTTAAACACCCATGATCATTAAACACTTGTAAACCCTTGGTAATGCAAAAACCAACGACACGTCCAAGTAAATGGATGTTGTTGGTCAAGCCCTCGATTGGTTTCCTCTTCTGCAACTGCTCCGGTGCTTTTCGGTTTTGGACACCAATGGTTTCACTGTCCCCCTTGAGCTTACAGATGCTTAGATTACCAAGCCTTGAGCTAAT